GTAGGCCTGCTTCGACCATGATAGCTATATGGGTAATTTGTACCACCAACCGTTGAAGGAGGGTTATCTTTACTGGCAACAGATAAAACTATGGGAATGTTGACCGACTTGTCCATTATGTTGTTTGTTCTTATTATTACGAACAATTCAAAGTGGAGAGATCTATTTAATTTGTTTTTATTCATTCATTAAAGGTACGAGAAAATATTACAACAGAAAAATAGCATGAAGGGCGTTACTGAAACAGCTGCTGTTTACCGAGTTCCTGTTCTGCAGATTTTATTTTCTGCGGCGCTTGAAACCTTTTTTCCTGAGAGAGGCAACCTTTTTAGACGGTTTTTTTTATTGCTGTTTTATACTTTATCTTCTGTGAGTTTTGTCTCCCTATAGGAAAGAAATCGCACATTTTTATATTTTCAATTCACTTTTCTCTAGAAGGAACATCAAATATGTACTCTTGAATCAAATTTTAAGTTTTAATGAGTAGTGGGAAAGGCATCTCGAATATTCTCAGTGAAATAAACTGAGAATCTACTTTCCTTCAATAGAAAATACTGGTTCTAAATAAGTTTGATAGTGCCTCATACCATAGAACGTAAAAACAGCCGTAGAACTGCGCTGTGCAGCGTATGATTGCGGGAGTCCTAAGTGAAAGGAGAAAGCATGCATGCCTGAAAAATTTGATCGATTCCAAAGAATACCGATAAAGTTGTAGCTCAAGTTTTATTCGACTTTTAAAAAGATACCAGAAGCTAAAGCAGGCCCAGAAATAAGAGCTTTGTGACTACAGTACAGTAAATTGTCATCGAGTGCTTTTGTACATAAAATGAATACATTTTTAGAACATTACTTCAGTTCTCTAGATACTATTACCAAAGTGTAACGTGTTTTCGTAACCTAAAAAAATTAACTTGAGAAAAAATCGCCTGTTTGTTCTGAATACCTAGCCTTTGTAAAGGTGGTGAATGGTAATTGTGATATCAACGTTTTATTTGTCGCGCCCGAGATATTGGTGACTTTTTAAATTGTGAGGCCGGACTTGTAAGTGCTTTCAAAAGCGGAACTTAAAGACTTGTGAAATTCGACGAAAATTTTGCGAGGCCCACGGTGTTTGAGAGACCATTCACTACGTACTCCTTGATTTGGAAATTCAAGACTTTTCTTGCTAAACATTGAAACTTCAAGATTTGGAAATTTAAGATTTGGCTTGCCAAATATTGAAACTTCAGGATTTGTTATGCCCAATATTGAAACTTCGAGATTTGGAGATTCAAGATTTGGCTTGTCAAGATTTGGCTTGTTTGATATTAAAAATTTAGGATTTGGGATGCCAAATATTGAAAATTCAAGATCTTCCCTGCCAAATATGACAGTTCAAGATTTGAAAATTGAAGATTTCGAAATTGAAGATTTGGCTTGTCAAATATTGAAAATTCGACATTTGGACATTCCAGATTTCGCCTGCCGAATATTGAAAATTCAAAATTTGGAAATTCAAGAATTGGCTTGCCAAATATTAAAAATTCAAGATTTGGACATTTAAGATTTGGCCTATCAAATATTGAAAATTTAAAATTTGGAAATTCAAGATTTGATTTGCCAAAGATTGAAAATTCTGGATTTGGAAATTCAAGATTTCGCCTACCAAATGCAAATTTTGAAAATTCCAAATTTGGAAATAAAAGATTTAGCGTGCCGAATATTGAAACTTCGAGATTTAGAGGTTATGAATGGCAAATGCAAGACTTGCATTATTCTTTTTGAGCCGGAGACATTTTTGGCTTTTTAAATTGCGTAAAAAAACGGTCCCGGCGACCTGTGAAAATTTTACGAGATCCATTGTTTTTTAAAGGTCCATTCAGAAGGTACGAGGAACTTTCCTTCCTTTTTCCCCAGAGGGTCTCTGATGGTCACGTCCGTTACTCTGTCTACTGACTTATTTCATAAGTAAAAAGCAACATTAAATTCTTTGAGTTTCTGTATTTTCCCTGTAGGTTAACCCATGGCCCACGATGTAATTACAGCTCACTCGATCTCTCCTCAAGTCGTGGTGTAAGTTCCGTTACAGGCCTGTAAATCCCAACAGGTGCAAAGCAGGTTCTGGACTTTATTTTGTGTGACACATGTTGAAATACCCTCGAATCTTGGCTTGCCGTATTATCGACGTTTCTTCGTCTTAATATGTCAGAGCTCGTAAGGATCAGCTGAAAATATATGCAACGGAACAATATCAACAACAACAACAACAATAACATTATCAGTGTAGAAGCAAACAGTTTAAACGAGTCTTAAGATGCATGCAATAAGACATTTGTTGGAAAGTTTCCTAATTGGCCAAAATTAACATTTTCAATCACTCAGAACTTTCTGACCTTGGAATTTTGTAAGGTTATGTTCTTTGTTTGCCTAATTTTGCAATTCTACCTAATTCAATTCATCATGACCAAGAAAGCAGTTTTTAT